AATTTTTTTTTTTTTTTTTTTTTTTTTTTTAGCGCAATGTGCGTTTTATGATAGGTTACTTAGTTAAGATATTAATTGAAATAAAAAACAAGTAATATACAATAAAATTTTCAAAAGTGAGAATAATTGAGTTGAAATATTATTTAATAAATTAAATTTTATGAATGTGTTTTATATTAAATACTGTATACTGATTTCTCAAACAAAATATTAACTTATTTGAAGGATTCAATTTTTAAACGATATTATTCTTAGCCCCTGTATTAAATTATTTTAGAAACTCGTTGAAATAATGGAGTATGTTCCATTAGCAAATATCAATTCTACAGTTATTAACGAACTTGAACTATTCTTAACATAGACTATAATGATAAATTGTATATTTACAGGTATAGTATAATATATATTTTTTTTAATTTTATTTCGACGTGTTTAAAAATATTTAAGAATCCGAAAAATACTTCTTTAGAAGTAAAATTTACATTCTGGAATTTAATCCCTAAGAAATAAATCAATTTATATATTTATTTAAAATTGAAATATTTATTTGAAATTAAGCGATCTCTTTTTCTTACTAAAAATTAACTTGAAGATTTGAAAAATAATTGCTCTTATCATTTTCGAAAACGTCACTCAACAGTTATAGAATCTAAACTCTCATTTTATCACCTCAATTAATAAACTATCTTTTTCACTAATTCTCAATAACTTCATTTCAAAATAACGTTCATCAATTTCCTATAGTCTCCTCTTTGTAAAAAATCATCTTGTTCATCCACCATTAAATGCATACAGTCATTACTGACGAATCATCGCGTCACGATTTTCAAGTGACGTTTTTCTCGCAGAACTGGGCTCTTTGATCTTCGACTCGCCTTTGATCTTCCCTAGTGACGTCCATTTTCCAGTAGCAGTCTCATATCTTGTCAGTCTCTCGTCATAGGTTGTCAGGATCATCAACATTGCGTCTGCTCGCAATTGGATGCGTCGTTCGATTTGACAAGAACCCTGGCATGATTGGTGTGACTATTAGGGACGGGATTTGCAGCGATCAACTGCACGGTCTGTTGACGGTCATCCAAGATTCGTTTTTCGTCCAGCACATCCGGCGCGGACGATTGATAGTCACACCTTCTCTTCTCCCGGCATCGGACCTGCGGTCGAGCGGATAAACTGAAACAGTCAACGTCCCACAATGGACTTGACACGGGCACGTCGTCACTGGCACGACACGGACAACTCTCTCCCTCTCGTTCTCTACACTTGCCATTCTCTGCTTGTTAGTTAGCTGTTGCTTGTGTCATTCCCGGGTCTATATACAGCAGCAGGTCGACGGTGTTAGTACCGGTATATTATCCATCGCGGACTCGATCGCGGTCCGCATCGCACCATTGACTAGTCGTGCATTCACATTTCTTTTTTCTTTTTTATATTTTTCAATTCTTTTTTTATTTTTACTTTGGCTACCTTGCTCGTTGTCGCGCGACCGTGACTCCTGATGGAACACCGGTGATGAACATACTTTGGTGAACTGATGGTGATGGTTCTATTTGGTGTGTGCTGATCGTGTGTGCTAGATGAAGAGGGATGACGTTAAGCTTGATCTCGTTTTATTGGTTTACTGGTAATTTCGTGTTGTTTGATTTTGTTACCGTTAAGGAAACGGGGATTGGCCCTTGTTGTAAAGGAGGTTAGAAAATGTGTTGGAGGGATGACTCTTTTCTTATGGTTATTTAGCTCTTTGTAAACCAGTTACTTTCGTCAATTTAAAGAGAACATATTCTGTTACTTATTTGCATTTTAGTTCACAGCGTGAGGTAATAAAAATGATTTTAAATTATTTCCAATTTCATTACAATATATTTTAGAATATACTACAAGTGACGAAATAACAGGACTGCAAAGGGTTAAATTCCAATTTTTCAAGGAGGATAACGCGTTTCGTCAAAAATGCAAATTTGAATTGAAAAATCGGCTGGAAGCATAAAATTGTTCTCATGCAAAGTTTTGACTGAAAAGTAACTCTGTTAAGTAGGTTTACGTATTACAGTTGCAGATTTGCCTTATTTTTTGTATCATGCTTATTAGGTTATAAGTATTGTACTTTGGGAAAACTTAATTTATTCTAAAACGGTGCTTATAAAAATAACGTGAATTCGTAGTGGTCTATTAATACTTCATCGACACTTCGTTTTAGTAGTTAATAATGGAAGTACAATACCATAAACGAACAAAGTGTTAATTCTTCGTATAATACGAAATTCACAAGTGTTTCAGAGACATTACAGAACTATGTAAATTATGATCGCAGTAAATTACGATTATTGCGTTACTCATGCGATTAGCAGAAATTTCTTCTTGCAGAATCATGCGATCATTCTATTGCAATAATGTCTTATTCACCTCCTAGGCTCGATTTTTCTTAAGCAATAACGAATTTCGAAAATATATGGAGAATAACTGTACATTACTACATAGAGCCCAATTGAAACGAATGGCTATGTACAAAGCAATTTTCACGATTTACTGCACAATCTATCATGATCTCTTGATAAACTGTGGAGTCTAGTAACTTGGAAGATTAGGTGGAAAGTTCATCGAGAATTTTTGCTACAAGTATTCGAAGCCATAAAGAATTTTCAAAGTTTAAACCATTCGTATAGAACCTATGAAAAGAATTTATAGAAAAGAGAAATCTCTACTTTGAACAGACTTCTTAAAACTTTTCTTTAGCTTTTACAAAACATTAAAAAACTTAACCATTTCAACATGTTTCTAACCAAAAAATGATGTACAAAGTAGATAAGAAACTTGAATCAAGTGATGAATAGACAAAACTGTTCACCACAATCTTAAAAACGAAAGGGACTAAATAAAATCTGAAAAACTACATTACTTTACAAGACATTATTTCCTATGCTTTTCCAAAACCTTAAATTCCTTTCAGTCCTCACGTTTGTAAGGAACATTTTACATCCAAGACTCCGAATAACTTTTGCAACCTTTTGTTTAAGATCTGAGCGAATTTCATTCAATTTTCAAATTTGATATTGATGAAGAAAAAATAAAAGAAAAATAAAATGGTGGAGAACATCACCAGCTCTTACGAATCGTAAATCTGTATCGAGAGAGCGTGAATAAGTATGAATGAAAATTGTGGCAGAAACGAAGGAAAGAATACAGATGTTGAATACGAGAAACTGGAAAACACGTTGACGATGATGTTTCATTTAAAGCCTTTTCATTTCTACGGAAACCATGACTGTTCTATGTCTTGTGAATTTGCCGTACCGAGACGGTGGTGGCTGTACAGGAATTGGCTCGATTCCGCAGTAGAGCCGTGCCCTCCCATTTCCTCTTGAACTGCGCTATCACCTAAATCAGAGAACCGTTTATTAATGATCTTTCCCTTTCTTTTAACACTTTAATTAAAAGTTCGAGCGACACGTTCAAAATCAGATGAAAATCTTCAGAAATCGAGTAAAAATGCGATTGGAAATCTGCTCGAAATCTGTAGAATTCAGACAGAAGTGTAATCGACAATTTGATCTGGATAATAAGAGATATATATGTTGTTACATGTTGTGGCACGCAAACAGTTATTTAGGAATAACGTTGATGATGTTTATCTAGATATTTACCTCCCCATTGCAGAAACAGAACAACACAGCCACGCAGAGACCCTGCAAAAGAAACATCGATTTAGATCTGAGAAAATATTCCATTTAAATTATCCTGTTCGATTTGACAACAAGGAATATTATATTTCTAGTAATCTATGTAATTGGAATTTAATAACACGGTAATTGCTTTAAAACTTTAGCGAGTCTTAGTAATAAGTCCAAACTTAGTAACTCCAAAGTTATTGAAAATATGGGATATTAATGAATTTCAGAACTCGACACGATGACTTTAAAACAAATATAAAAGATTTCTCGAGTAAATTTGGCTTTTGGTGAAATAACGTGATACGATTTATACCTGGAAAGAGGCTGTAATGGCAGAAAGAACTTCGTAGAACTGCTCCCAGGGGTGGTTCTTCGGCGGTCTGAAGGGGATGACGAGGTAATGTAGGCCCAAAAGAGGTACGAGAAGTAGCGTTGCTCTAATGAGGAGCATAAATTAAATTAAAATTTATTTAATATCTTTGCTTCGATCTCTCTGTTTCAAAAGAGAGGGAAAGAAAAGAAATAAAGGATAAAATAGCATCTTGGAAATATTCCGCGATCGATGAAGTCGAATTATTGCTTCTATTTTCAACGATGGATGGAAGAATAATTTTTTAAATCAAACCAGCGAACGAAAGAATTTAAGAAATATATTTTTATAAAAAGTTATTAAAAAGCTCGTAAATTAGTAAATTTAATTACCTGAATGCCTGTCGCATAGACCTCGAGGGTTGAGTGCCGATCGTGGGGCCAGCTCTCAGCTTCATCAACAGAACTCGAACGATGTTGAAGAGAAACAGGACGTTCAATAAGGTGGAAACGCAGACGGGATAAACCAGCACGTTTATGTAGTTACCCTCGTTGATCCAACACCTAAAATCACCATCGATATGCCAAATGAATCCAACATATCTTACACTGAAACATTCCTTCAGGTATCTCCATCCGAGATTTGAATTAAAAATTAATCATCGCGAATCTAGCAACTCGAAAGAGAATTTTTGATCGAAAGAAAATTCGTCTAATCGCAATTTCCAAGCACAAATTCGCAGAGGAATTCTAAAATTCCAGACCCTTGCACAAAATTTCTTTTTAGAACATTATTATATTTTTCCGAAATTGGAATTTTAGAAATTTTTCTGGAAACTGAATTTCCTGAAATCTCTGACAGAATTTCGATTTATCTTTTCCTTCGTCGATAATTTTCTTGATAATCGTTTTTAAATTTAAAGGTCCACACTCGTGGGACGATGGTCCTCCATTTTTATTACGAATAAACAACATCCTCTGACAAGAAGATTATTTGGGATCAGGTTCATCAATGCGAAGAATCCCTTTGATCATTAGGAACTTCGAAGTGAGTCTTCGGTAAGCGACGTTAATTCAATTGCCACGATTTTGATCCTTCGACTCACATGTCCTTTCCACAGCAACCATAGAAATCAAATGCGTTTCGCAATGCGTAGGATGCATTCCTTCCTTGCACCGTGGAATTACATGTGCATATAGTCTATCCGAAATCTGATCGTCTCCCAAGGTTCTTCCTTCCATCGCAGATGCTGTCACGAATGATCCTGCTTGGCCTTTGACACATATATTTGCAAGAGACATGATTTCGAAGTGAGTAATAATCGATTTTAATCTATTATATTTCGTGCTTTACGAAGCCAACATTTATTTTCTATTTAAAATTTTTTTAATTTAATTTTAAATTTCTAAATTACCCTCGTTATTTTTTAATTATTTTTATTCCTATTCTTATTTCTTTCCATTAGATTTCTTACTATACTTACCAAAAAGTATTACGACATATTTTACTAACGAATTAACAGCTAATTTTACTAATTTTCTATTTTATATGATCTTACAGTTTCATGTTGGATTCGTGTTCTGATTCAGTTCCTCTTACCACTTCGTCGAGCTTGTATGAACCCTAAATTGGAAGCATAAACGGTAAAGGACGGTGAAGCAAATAGTGTAGATGCATAAATCAAGATGTTAGTAAGTAATTGAGGTTCTTACGAAACTAAGATCAGTGGAGGATGCAGTAATTATTATCGCACTTACTGTTCAGTATCGGCAGGGTCGTCGCTGGTCGCCCTCAAAGAGGCATAAATCGTGACGATGACCGCAGGCACAGGCCATCCCAGGCCCATCAGCCACTTTACTAATTTGTGTTCGCTTGTGAAAGCGCTAACGAGCAGGGTGTGCAGGTAAAAACCCTCGCACAACATCCAGGCGTAATTAGTGAGCAGGAAGTAGTGGAGGATAATGTGCAGCAGGCGACACGTTATCTGAAAATTGTGTGGCTTCTCGTTAATCTTTGTCGTACGTAGAAAAATACACGCTTCAAATTCCAGAATAAACTGTGAATTTTGTAGCTCGTGTAAATCATTCTTTTATATTTATACGTAAAATTTAAACTATTACAAAGGTTTCTTTATCGAATAATCTGATCTCTTTCTAAATTATTAAACCATGAATGTCGAATGATTTTAATTTCTTTGTCTCCCTTCATTTCAGTTTTTACTTTCTATCAACTTACATATGCCACGACAAGGAAAGAAGTACAAGGAAATAAGAGAAAATAAAAAATAATTACAAGAAGAATGGAGGAAGGAGAGAAACTTTCGTTTTCATCGTCGAGCAATGATTGCAGAACATAGACCCATAATTACTGAAACGATATGGCTAGAAACTAAATTCCCGCGTGAGTTACTAGGTCGAGTGTTAAGCAAAGAGCCAAGAGAGAACGAGGCCTTCATACGTACCCCATTGTTCAATAGTAAATCCGTGTTCGCGACGATGCATCTGTACCATACTAGCCATAGAGCATTATTCACAGCAAACGAGGCGAACAGGTTCATATGAAGCGTGATCCTTGCACACCTCAGGGAACTATAATATTTTGAAAAAGTAAATAATTAATAAATTCATGGGATATAGAATAATCTATTCTCTCACAAAACTCTATCTCTCTTATCTTTGCAACACGATTTCACTTTTATAAGATTCTTAAAAAATTCGTATCCCATTTTAATCTTCAATTTAATCTCCTACATAATCTCCTATTGAACTATATGTTTCTTCGAATATTAATTTTTCACCCATTCAGTTAGCTACAAAGTTAATGTACGAACGACAAAGAACGACTGAAAATTTATCGTAAGCAAAAGTTTATTTGGAAATGGACGCTCGATACCATTGTCACAATAATCTCAAACATTTTGACTCGAGTTTCACGTGTGGATAAGCTCGCGTGTGAGTTCAGAGAAACCAGAATCCTGCGGTGGTGCAGAAATTCGCGTGCCACATTTTCCAAGCCCCTCGAAGTACACCAACCATCGATTTTCATCACTCCCACTTGAATTCTCCCACGAGAGTTTTATTTTGTATCGTAGAAAGAGAGAAAAATTGGTGGAAAACAGAGAGAGAGAGAGAGAGAGAGAGAGAGATAGAAGGAGAAGAAAGAATTCAATAACGAGAGGGAAAAAGTGTTGAAGGAAGGAACTCGGTTGGAATTCTTCATCAACTCACCGGAAATACGTGAGAATACCTAATGAGAGCAGCAATGCTACCAATGATATTGCATATCCAGCCTCGTAAATTCCGCTAATCCCCTGCTGCCACTGAAATCGAAACCAATAACCCTATTAACGAGGACCTGGTCTATAGATTAATTTCTAATAGCAGTAAAGTACATAAATTGATACGAAACAAACGTATTCGCAACTTTGAAATATTTATATATTTTATTCGATAAAATATTATTTAATAAAAAATATATCTTCTGTATATTACAATAGCATAACAATATACCTAATTATCGTTATATTCCATCACAGACAAAGTTAAAGCATTTTGGAGATAGAAAATGAGATTCATCGAACCGCATAAATTTCTTTTCCACTTTTACGTAACAAATTATAATCTCCTGCATAAAATTCTACAACTTAACTCGAGTACACAGATTGTTAAATTTATTTCACCGTTGAACGCGGAGTTTGTTAGATGAAAATTACGAAAAAATTCGCGAATAGCAGCGTGGTGATAAGACTTCTGACAATTTGTTTTCCTCCTAGAAAAATGCAAAGCGGGGACCAAGAAAATTGCAGCAAAATCGTGGGACGAATGCGGAAATGGCGGAAAATGGAGCTACAGAGACGCGGAGGAGCAAAAACGTATGAAACAGTCGGATGCAGAAATATAAATGACGGTGTGTCCTTTACGAGGCACACCGGAAGATGACGCGATGCAGGAAGTTCGAAGATCCCTCCATCTGCACGCGGAATTAGTTTAAATAAATTTTGGTGGCGCGAAATTTTATTTTCAAATTATCGGATTCAATTTTCTTTCTCCAGGAACGAGTTATTTTATATACGATATTTCTTCTGGTTTCGGTATGGTAATGTTGTTTGATACAAAATAGAAATACTTTAACCCCTAAGGATAATACAATTTGAAATTGAAAATAAAAGGAGAAAAGATATACCAATTTTTATTTTAGAATGGTATTCTTATAAAGTTAATAATAAATTTATTATTATAGTAATAATAATAGTAATATAATAGGAAGTAATACTTCTGTGTACAAGAAATAATTGAAATGTATATAATTTTGATATATTGAAATTATCTCAGCATGTTTAAGCATATTTAACAAAAATACATAAATTGCAAGGAACTCTTTTAGATATAGTTGTTTAATTATGTTTTACTAGGTGGTTAGACGTATTTGGGTATTCGTAGATAGCGTACTCTTGACTTCGTGCATTATTCATCACGTGTACAGGCATAATACACGAACGTATGCTCCCGAAGGGTTTTCGTTTCATCGAGCGATCTTCGAGATAAGAGGATCTAGATTACTTGGAAATTTGTTCCAAGTAGCTATATCACTCAACATTACGACTTTATACAACGTTCCAAGGGAAATTTCGTTGATAATTATGTTAAGCAAAAATGATCGAACTCCTTATCTCATCAATTTCACGAAATCTTTATAAATCGTCCTGCTCTTTATACAGGATTGGACCAATAACTTTAACCACCTTGATTATCTTTATCATTTTTATACTATACATTCTTCGTCGCCAGTGAAATAGCGTATGACGATTTTAACGATTCCCGATAAAAGGATATACGTGATATGGAATAATGAATATATGAAACGCCATAATATCACATGCTCGGTTCAGTATCTTTAAAATACAGTAACAAGTATTTATGTGAAAAAGTTTTTAACAAATTTTCAACCAAAACATTTTTCATACTTATGAAGAAAAAGAAGAAAGAATGGAAGATTATAGAAATACATATATGTAGAAATAGTTTGAGAGTGAATGCAGAGGAACACTTGGATCTACCTAGCTGATGGGCAATAAACAGCAGCCTAGGTTTCAGAGCGAATATTTAAAGGAACCTTTGGAGTGCACGCGGAAGGACGAGTGACTGTGTGCAAGGATTGGATGAATGGAATATTTATGACTATGGAATGCAAGTGAATAGCGAAAGGCACCTGAGTGTTTAGGGTACCTAGCCCACCCAGAGCGAGGGTATGGGAAATGCGTAATTGAGAAAGAAAACTTGGGTATGAAAGAAGACAAAGTGCAAGGTTTAAATGAGGGTGCAAGGGCTGTCCTAAGACTATTCGAAGTTTGAAAGATAGTCCAGTCGATAAGAATCTGTTACAGTCATTTACATATAGTCCTTTACGAAGTTTGAAAGATAGTCCAGTCGGTGAAAATCTGTTACAGTCATTTACAAATAGTCCTTTACGAAGTTTGAAAGATAGTCCAGTCGGTGACAATCTGTAACAGTCATTTACAAATAGTCCTTTACGAAGTTTGAAAGATAGTCCAGTCGGTGAAAATCTGTTACAGTCATTTACAAATAGTCCTTTACGAAGTTTGAAAGATAGTCCAGTCGGTGAAAATCTGTTACAGTCATTTACAAATAGTCCTTTACGAAGTTTGAAAGATAGTCCAGTCGGTGAAAATCTGTTACAGTCATTTACAAATAGTCCTTTACGAAGTTTGAAAGATAGTCCAGTCGGTGAGAATCTGTTACAGTCATTTACATATAGTCCTTCACGAAGTTTGAAAGACAGATAGTCCAGTCGGTGAAAATTGATTACAGTCATTTACATATAGTCTTTTACGAAGTTTGAAAGATAGTCCAGTCGGTGAAAATTGATTACAGTCATTTACATATAGTCTTTTACGAAGTTTGAAAGATAGTCCAGTCGGTGAAAATTGATTACAGTCATTTACATATACGTCTTTACGAAGTTCAAAGAAGAGTCAATGTATGAGCGAGTTGCATGATCATAGTTGAATTGTTAGTCTAATCCTCAGTATGTACTTTACTCCTAAGCCTCCCTAGCTCGTAATAGAAATACATAGAATTTAAATAACATCTTTATTCCTTGTATTCGCCATTCAAAGTATATCCTTACATACAAACACTCATACAGTGCATGTGATTATATAAATGCATCACTGTTACGTAATTTGTGGTGGACAGCACGGTCTTGGTGCTGGAATAATTAGGCGTGTACACAGTGGAAGACGATGGAAACGATGGAAACGACGGAAACAATCGCTGAGACGAATATAAAATTCGGTTACCGTTTAATGGAACGACTAAGGGCCGGTCTCTCTGCGCGGACAATCGGATTAATGTGGACCGGAAGTTACATCACAGTTGCAGCCGCTAGTTGGACGAACTTCGTCAACTTCCGCGGCGTCTAATTGCATTTACTGCCCCTTTGTCCCGCGGAAATTGAATTGATCCCGCCATTAAGTGCGACGAGTGACACTCTTCGTTCCTCGTCTGACATTTCATCACGAGTCCCGAATTTTCCTCCATCCGTGTATATTCGAACGTTTCTGTTAATTTTCCACAGCATCCACTTGCCATGTCTCGCGTAAAGCGAAGCGAAATTCCGCTTTGAACGATTAAGTTTGTTAAAAGGATTGCACGAATCCTGCTCTCGACCGTGTTATTTTTCATTTCGAATTGTCATAGCTTCTCGTTAATATTTTTCCTCGATCGTCGCGTTGGTGATCATATTGAGTCATGCTTTTGTAACTGTTATTCAAATCGCGTATACTTATACGTGCAATGAAAACAAAATGGTCTTCCTGTAAAAATAGGATAAGCTTATCTGTTCGACACAGAGTGGAATAAATTTAGGCAATCACTAGAAAGTGAAGGTGTAACGAACTTACCTAATTAATAAAAATATAGGTGACCATTTTTTAAAGGTATAATAGACATTCGTGCAACAAATATCCAGCGATCCCCATAAATAGAAAAACTTTAATCACGTAATCATGATCGAGAGAGTATAGCATAAATTTTTTAGATTCTGTGCATATAAGCTAAATATCCCAATATCAATTTTCGATCACGATTATTCCACAATATTAACCTTTGGCACTCGAGAGGTGACTCTCAGTCACCGTTTGTTTCAATGCTATAACTTAAATAATGGACGATGATAGTTATGTTAAGAACATCGAAATAAAATTATTCTATTCGTTCGTTTCTCACGCAAATTCACAATTTTCTTTTTTGAATTTTAGCATAAAGAGTATCAGTGAGCTTATAAAAATCTAAGTAGAATTTCGAATCGCATTTTCACAATAAAGAAATCTTCGAGTCCAAATTAAATACTGTCAACCTGGAAACATTGTCTGCACGAAGAAGAATAGCTGACCATAGTTTTATCTTTAATTTAATGAATAATCACAATGATTGCTCCTCTCTTCTTACGCAAATTAATTTCTATATGCCAGAACGTGTATCGAGATCAAGAGCAGGTTTTCATATACATATGTCCAGCTCTACATATGGATCAATTAATCCAATTTATCCTATTATTTTTCCATGGGTTTTTACAAACTTTCAAAAGACAATTACGGATGATTATTGATCAAAGCTATTCCTCCTGAACAAAGTGTTTATAAGCATGTTTCTTCGGTGTTATATTATGTATAATTTGTCTGCTTCTCTTTTATATGTGAAATGTTATGTTAGTGGACTACGATCCGTTTATGAATAAAATAATAATATTAATAACAAGAACCATGTCAATTTTACAATAAAGCTGGAGTAACTGATCGATGGAATACACTTGTTCGTTAAAAAAAGAATTACGGTGCCATTTTCTAGTACCCTCCAACGTGTTTAACCACTAGACAAAAGACCGAGTGACTATATTCCGAAACGGTTCAAGAGCCTGTCAGAGACCGCGCTTTCTCACACGCTTGTAACAACAAAAGCTAATGGCACGATCCACAAACGGGAAGCTCCATGTGTACCCGCGAATCCCACGAGAGCACCGGGACAGAATGAAAATGTATAGTCGCGAATTCAATCCCGGTAAGCTCGAGAATAAATGTTAGAGGAATGGAACTAGACTTCCGTTCGTGATAATCCTTTCATTCCATCGACGCGGTTCTTTCAACATCCGGGCAACCCACGGGGACGTTTCTCCGGTATAAAATGAGGATCTTCGTCACTCAAACCGCGAGACTGAAAGAAACTCCGTTATTTATATCTCGCTCCGTTTCGTCCGTTTCTTGCACAGTTTCCGCACGACGAAACGAGATCCTGCTCGTTATGTCGCGTTCCTCTTGGTCCATTTTGACATCGGGATCGTGCCTTTGGCAGGAACGATAATCTCCACGAGGATATTCTACATTGGTAGTTTTACGTGACGGTAGTTACTCGAGTGTATTCAAGAAACCGTAGACTCTTCGGATCTTTTGACGTTAAAACGGTGGCTATCACGCAAATCGGTACCATTTTGCCATTTTTCCTTTGTTCTTCTTTATTCGTTATTTATTATCCTCCAAGCGAGCTACAAGAAGTTCCATTCGTCATCTTTTCTTTTCCTACATCGCACGGTTTGTAATAGTTACTTCGTTACTTAATAATTTAATAATAATTAATTATAATTTAATAATAA